ATATATATATATCTTTGTGTGTGTGTGTGTGTGTGTGTGTGTGTTTATGAAATAGAAGCAAACATATTGTTTTTGCACATGTGGCAATGTGATGCAATTCATAGCCATTTCAACATTTGTGGTGCAGGCTAAGCTCGCAGTTACTTGGCAGGATTTACGAACAGTGGCCCCGCGAATTCAAAAAGAAAGTACAAAAAAAGTATAATAGATACCAAAAATTGTAAATGCATCTTGCAATTAAAGGTAGTCAATAGACTACAAATGAAAAAATAATTAAAATTACTTCATTAACAATTTTATTTCATTTTAGTTTTATAGAATGGGGGGGAATTAAATTAAGTATTAGTTTTTGAAATGAATTTCAATTTTTCGTTTTAGTTTGTTATATATATGGTTTATGTTGTTTGTCTTTGTTAATGTTTGACTTTGATGGGCCTTTCTAACACCTATCTAACGTGCTTTTCTAACTTTCTAATCCACACAATGTCCACGATTATGAGCAAACGTGACTTACACTTCTCTTCTCTCTTTTTACAATCTGCGATGTAAAGTGTGAAATAAGAAAATATAACCAATATTATAAAATAAATGAAACAATATAATTATTGTTAGAGTTCATTATTGTTTTTACATTATTGATTCCACAGAAATACATACATATTTTTATTTCAACCCTATTTAAACATTTATTGAATATGAATGGTTCAAGAGTTTTGTTTTGCAACATTTCTTATGCAGTCTCGTTATGAGGATGTACCGTTGGTGGTCATTGTGTATAGATGTTTGCAGGGCAATGGTGCTGCCATACATGGTTACTAAAGGGCCCTGATGTTGGTACTGGTGATGGTAGGAAGGTGTTGGCGCTGATGACGTCTGGTTAAAGGTTTAAGCCCTGACGCTAATCGCAAAGTAGTGGTGGTGGTTGTAGAAGTTGGTGGTGGTGTTGGTACTTACGGTGAGCAGAAGGAGTTCTTTGTGATGGTGGTGGTGGCGGGAGTTCTGGCCAGCCAGCCTTCTACTTCTCATTGAATCACTTTTTCTGAGTGGACAGAAGAGATTCGTAATGTACACTGCTAACCATGAGGCGAAAAAAAATCAAAACATAAATGCCTTCCAAAATATCACCTTTATTATTACTATTTCTTTAGTATAAATTCCTTTTGCGGTTATGAAGTAAGGTGTCAAAAGTAATATATTTACATTGTGAAATGAATTCTTTCATTTTTTAAATATTAACAATTTGAAAAACGCATGAAATTATGCGTCTGAAATTGCAATTTTACAACACTCTGCCTAACGAACGTTATTTCTCACGACATCTATCGCACAGAACTCGAGACAGTGCCGCCTCGCCGCACCAGAATCTATACAACGAGATGTTGGGACGATCTATTTCACGTGTGGTAAGTGGGCTCTCCTAGATGTACTCCGCGCTGAAGATGGCGCCGCAGTATCATTATCAATTAAACGACGTTCACCTACACACTTTCCATCCGTGCGGAAATGGGGCTAAAGGGAAGTCCTGTTTACATAAGTAAGCGATTTCGCAAAGGTACGCGAATTAGACTAAATTCTGGGTCTTTGGAGAAATTGGTAATGGAACTATGAATTATTTTTAAAGAATTACAAGAAACAAAATATTATCTTGGAAAATGAAAATTCAATTACTTTCGTGAGTTATTTTGTGTGCACTTGAAGAATTCATGGCGAACAATTTTGTTACTTTATCTCGGTCTCCAGAGAACGTTTCTGTAAGAAATTTATCATCTTTATCTTATGTGACATGTGAATGAAATATAGCAAATGAAATAAAACAACTGAAGCCATAATTGTCGGACCAGAGTGTATTAGCATATACTGTAATAATAATAATAATAGTAATAATAATAATAATAATAATAATAATAACAATAATAATAATAATCGTAACAACAACTGATCGTGCTAATACCTTCAGCTTTATTCTTTACCACATTTTACTCTTTTCTTTTTACTGATTTTATTATACAGTGCAATAATTAATCACTGTAACTATAATATATATTTCACACTCTTTTGTCAAATATGTCAATACCCTACTTAAGTCGCCAATTTCCATGCGAATTGAAGGAATTGAATATAATTCCACTTAAACGCTTCATAATCTCTTCTTCCTATCTTGCTTCAAACGCACTGACCATCGTTTACCATTTGTAATGTCCTGCTTCATGTGATTTACCCATGGATTTTACGTATTGTATCTTACTTGTTTCAAATAAATTTGTTGTAAGAGATGTTCGATATGTAACCTGGTGCTGTCTAACCAAGAATTCCAAGCTTCCAATGCTTTTGTCTGTATTTTGCGCGTAATTACTTGGCTGATGTAGTTATGACCCAATAACTCTGAAGGTTGCGACTGGTTTCGACTGCTTCTTACCTGCAATTGTAATGTTCTTCGTTGGCGGATTCTCCATTTTGTTCGTCGGCGTTGATTGCCGCTAAAGCAGCTGATGCTTCGGTGGCAGAAGACAAATGCAGTGGTTCCCAACTGATGTGTCCATTGTCGGATTAATACTTTGTTTTAAGGACTGCAAGCTCACAAAGCTTCGAGGTGAACGGGACAAAATCCAACGCAGGCAAAAATTTAAGAGTAAATCAATATTTGTAACATCATGTAACAAATATTCTGTTTTTAGCATGCTGGAGGGAAGAACAAGATAAAATATGGAAAAACATACAGTTAACGTATATCTACATTAATTAAATAATACATAATACGGTTTCGATTATTATATTCAAACAGAATAAATCAACTTGTAATTTGTTGAAACGTCTTATAATATTAAATATTATTGTATGATAAAAATCGTTTTAACTTCTATTTAAGTAAAGTAAATTATTTTGAAGAAAAATGGGAAAATATGACACACACTGGTATTTGACTGAACTTGTAAGAAACTTTTCTTCGAACCAGCATACGTGACAAGATTTTCTGCCGATTCTGAAATGAGTCAGATTTTAATATTAAATATTATTTGAAAATATTTTGAGTTTGTGTTATAGGTAATCCAAAAATAAAAATTGAATGTTTGTAATGTCATCATGAATAACATTTTAGATCGAATTCTATGTTTTGCCAACAATATATCAACATTATCTAGGATATTAACTATCGACAACACACGTATAAAAAAACTTTCATATTTTATTTATGTGTCAAAGACACACAATTTGAATAATTTAAACATCCAAAAAGATGCTATGATGAAGGATTTTAATTAATAGCCCTTACGACTAGATGGGCTGAAAGACATAAAAAATGCTGAGTAACTTCATTGAGTTACATTGATTGAATTAACCAAAACACTTCCCGTTACTTGACAAAGTAGTTTCATTACGCATTGTGTGTCGAACACACTTCTTGGGCATTGCATAGACCCGTTGGAAGCATTAATCCGATTCTGGACGCAAGAGAAGAACGTCGGGAACCTCTGCCTAACGAATGTGCTGGCCACGCCTAACCGCCTAACAACCAACGCAAGTGCTTTTTCCCTTCTTCTTCTTCCACTTCTTCGCCAACGACCTAACGCGCCCGCCCACGCGCCGCAGACGGCGCGAGCGAGGCCGCAGGCTCACCGTGGGACAGGGAGGAGCCCGAACCCGATGGCGAGGTGACGCTGCCGCCGCCGGCGCCGCCGACCACGCCCTCGCCCTCGCCCCCGCCCGCGGAGACGCCCGCGCCCGGCCCCGCCCCCGGCCCCGACGCCCCGCGCTGCCGCGCCGACGACCAAGTGCGCTGCCCCGACGGCTCGGCCTACATCTGCTCCTCGCAGATGTGCGACGGCCGTGACGACTGCCAGGACCGCTGGGACGAGCGCGACTGCGGCAACATAGGTGCGACCGCCCACCGCTCCACCTCTCTCTTTCAGCCAACAACGCGGCAGGCGAGAAAGCCTAAAGGCTGTCCCGCGTTCTGTAACCCTTTTCCAGCTACGGTTGTGATTTGTTGGGAAGAATTCGAACCAATCCACTCAACTCTTATTAGTATTTGGTATTTCAGTATATATAATACTTTGTTCCTCTGTCATCATCTGACAAAGACTTTGCCCTGTCGGCTCGGCCTACATCTGCTCCTCGCAGATGTGCGACGGCCGCGTCGACTGCCAGGACCGCTGGGACGAGTGCGACTGCGGCAACATAGGTGCGACCGCCAAACACTCGACCTGTCTCAGCCCAGCTTGCTCCAACAATGCTTGTAGGTTGTACCTCATTCCAAACCCTTTTCCAGCTATGGGTGTGATTTGTTGAGAAGAAATGAAACTAATCCAATCAACTCTTAAGTCGGTATTCCAAAATATATAATACTTCGTTCCTCTGCCATCATCTACCTGACTTTGCCCTGTCGGCTCGCACTGCGCCGACTGCTGGGGCCGCTGGGACGAGCGCGACTGCGGCAACATAGGTGCGACCGCCCACCGCTCGACCTGTCTCTTTCAGCGCAGCTTGCTCCAACAATGCGGCAGGCGACAAAGCCTGAAGGCTGCACCGCGTTCCATAACACTTTTCCAGATATGGTTGTGATTTGTTGGGAAGAATTCAAATCAATCCAATCAACTCTTGGGTCGGTATTCCAGAATATATAATACTTTGCTCTGTGTCATCATCTGCCAAAGACTTCACCCTGTCAGCTCGCCTTGCATCTGCTCCTCGCTGATGTGTACGACTGCCAGGGCCGCTGGCACAAGCGCGACTCCGGCAACATAGGTGCGACCACTCGACTTGTCTCTTTCAGCGCAGCTTGCTCCAACAATGCTTGTACAACGAAGGTTGTACCTCATTCCAAACCCTTTTCCAGCTATGGTTGTGATTTGTTGGGAGGAATTCCAATCAACTCTTGGTATTTCAGTATATACATAATACTTTGCTCTGTGTCATCATCTGCCAAAGACTTTGCCCCGTCGGCTCGCCCTGCATCTGCTCCTCACTGATGTGCGACGACTGCCTGGGCTGCTGGGATGAGCGCAGCTGCGGCAACATAGGTGCAACCTACGACGGAGTTTCTTTCTTTCAGTTTTATTGACGACTTTGCCTTCATAAAATTCTCCAGTGCCTGGTAGAACTGCGAACATAAAAGCGTAGTCTTTGTAAAACATTGAGATAGTGATTTGTTCGAAACGAGTTCCAGTCGATCAGCTTTAGATCTAATGTTTTTCCCCTTTATTTTTTTTTGTAGCGGCCCATTCTATTATTTCTACGCTGTTCTGTCGCGATAGCCTGCCATGACGCGGCCAGGACCGCGAGATAAAACTGCGACCAAATTTTCCTCTCAGTAGTTGACCATTTTATGTATAACGGCTTTACATTCCCTACGTATAACCGTCTGTGTATTTTCAAAGATAAATAATCAAAGGCATTTATTAGATAAATATGTATAAGAAGTTAGTCCTGTTACTATCGATTTGGAAATTTCAACAAGTTCAAATTCATCCATCCTTCCTTTTTTCTGCAAGCATTCGATTATTAAGTTGATGCTTCAGTGTATTCATTTGAGCCAAATCCTATATTCATTTACATCTTTTACACGTATAGGCTGTGTACTTTTCATCACTCTAAAAATCCTTGCAGAATGATGTGTGGTCCTATGGATCATCCTACAACTGCATATTTTAGATATCAAGTGCCTTTTACAACGAATACAATAAACAAATCCCGTGTAATTGATTTCTTAGCATTTAAATAAATTATTTCCCTGTTTAAGTCAATGTTGAGCTCTTTTTTACTATTTCAGGAAGAATGTACCGATTTCAAACTTATAGTATCCTTAATCTTGCAGTAATTGTCCCCTCTGAAATCAGTTTAAAATTGTCTTCTGTTGTCTTTCATTATGGAAAAGTCAGTTTGCAATACGCGCGAGTGTTTGCATCAGCATGGAGTTTTCAGTGCTGCTACTAGCGGCTGAACTGAGAACTACTGCCACTTATCTCAAGACGCTCTGGCGATAGTGGTGCTACCTTGTGGGTGCGGTAGAAACTGCTGGCCCCTTCGAAACGTTTTCCCGCTACTTGTGACGCACAACAGGTGACGACGTTGTGGATTCGCTCGAAATGGATTGTTCCAATTGTCGTCCTCTTACTCTTAACCCATTCATTGAATATTGATATTAAATCGGCTATATTTCTACCGTTCTTGTTCAATACTTCTCTTTTTTCGCTCGATACCTTTTTGTGTCCTTCATTTTCCCATGACTCCTATATACACATCCATTTATATTCCATTCCAAAACATTTTAAACAGCTAGGAATAATGAACATCCAATTGTAAACAAATGTAAATTATATACCTCACTTACCTTTGTATTAGGTACAAATTCATAATTCCTAACAATGGACAAGTTTTATATCTCCATAACTGATACTCTGTTCATTCAAATCTCCAAACAGACGCCATTGGTAAGTTCTGTTAACGAATTTCAGACTTTGGCATATCTTTTTGACACTTTTATTTTTCCTTTAGTCTGATATAGACTCTAATAACATAACACAAGTTTACCGTCGTTATGTAGCACCAACATTCAATAAAAGTTTTCGTTTTAGTATTTTTTCTCTTCATAATCTGTCCGATATTTTCATTATTCTTGGGAAGATGTTTCATATCATCAGCAGTTTACATACTTTCTTAATTTTCAGTGAATGGTTTTGGAAATTAGAACTGGAAAATTCGGATCGAGATGAAATATATATGGAGTAAAATCATTTACCCATGATAAGTTCTGAAAGAATAAATCTACTCCTTAAAATTCTAATTTGTGCTTATCAGGGTCAAATACTTAATTCTCTTATTGTTCTTGCATTTTTTAGTTTGTTGTTCAGTTTTTATTTTGTTTTTCTTTTTTCAAAAAGTAAATGGAAAAAAACATGTATGAGAAAGAATTTAAAGTATTTGTGTATTAAAAACATATGGGCCTTTCGAATATAACGAGGGTCAATCACATTTCTGTGAATATAGGACAGTACAGTGTGTGCTGTGTGTACTGTGACTGCATTCAAAATATGCTGCACTTTGCACGGCGTGTTGCAAATCGTGCTGCACTTTGGGCGTATTGCAAAACGTGGTGCACGCCGAGTGTGCTGCGCTGCAAGTGTGCTGCCCTCTGAGTGTGCTGCTCGCTTAGGGTGCTGCACGCCCAGGGTGCTGCACGCCCAGGGGGCTGCACGCCCAGGGTGCTGCACGCCCAGGGTGCTGCACGCCCAGGGGGCTGCCCGCCCCGGGTGCTGCACGCCCAGGGGGCTGCCCGCCCTGGGTGCTGAACACCCAGGGGGCTGCACGCTCAGGGTGCTGCACGCTCAGAGTGTTGCACGCTCAGGGGGCTGCACTCCCAGGGGCTGACCGCCTAGGGTGCTGCACGCCCAGGAGGCTGCACGCCCAGGGGCTGCACGCCCAGGGTGCTCCACGGCTTGCTGCACGCCAAATGTGCTGCGCCGGCAGAGTGCCGCACGGCGTGCGCGTTACGCTGCCGTGCGCCGCACGCGCTGGGAGGCCAGCGCTGACCACGCGCGTGCTGCGACAGGGCGCTGCCGCGTGGGCGAGTACGCGTGCGACGTGATGCGCTGCATTTCGGCGTCGCAGCGCTGCAACGGCGTCCGGGACTGCACAGACGGCACCGACGAGCAGGAGTGCCCGCGGCCCAACCCAGGTAGGCTCCCTTCCGGCCCCCTGGCCCCGTCTGGTCGTTGCTGCCTCGGCGGGCGATGGAGCGAACGGCTTCGGGGGACGTGAGGTCATTGCGGGGAACATGTGACACACGTTCAAAAAACTTAATTTTGCGAGCGTGAGAAATGTGACAGTCACTAGTGGGTGGATATGTAGTCATTCTCCTGCCTTCTCGGTTAGAAAAACGGAATTGTTTTCGCCATATTGTCGCTGCATTTCTAGGTTATTTACAGAGATTTCAAAGTAAATACTGTTCAGCTAAAGCAATAGCGTTCTTACAGAGTGATCTTTAAACTCTGTCTCTACATATTTTGTAGCAAATTTTCCACTCAGAATTATTTAGATATCTTCAGTTAATGGTTCAAGTTAATATGAATTTTTAATTTACACTCGATTATATAAAAATTCCATATTTTATAATATGAGAGGAGAAAAAAAATCATTGAGTGGACATTACACAACCTGTCACAAACGTAATATTCAAAATAGTTGCAATACTGGATTTAAACTTCTGGAAATTGCTGTGCAATTCTGACCATCATTACTTTGTAGAACGAATAATTTTTATTGTACGACCCCTACAAGAGTCACTGAAGGGGACAGGGAATCGAAGCTCGGCAAATCTCATAACATCGGGTGAATGACTGGATGCACTTTTTTCTCGTCATTGAATGCACTCTTACCATTTTTTTTCTTGTGACCGCTTTTGTTTTCGACATTTGAATTTCTGTAATTTCATCTTTATGAAATTATTTGCTTAAATAACAATAATAATAATTTATTGTCGTACTCTTAATTAAACATTTTAACCCAAAAGAGTACAAAACAGGACCCGGATGCTACCGTTTTAGTATGAACACTAGTTCCTGTGAGTTTGCTTGTATCTCTCCCCTACCACGAAATGGTTGCCACATTTGTCACGATAGCATGCGATGGAATAATAACACTTCGTATACGAAAGCTGCGTCCGGCAGGAGTTGGAAAGTTGCTTCAATCACGATATCCGTACTCCATCGCCTTCCGAGAAAGCATTGAAGCTTGTTAGCCGCCTTATCCACATAGTTTGCCAGCATGTGCATGTTACATACGTCACTGTTAGATCTTTCATAATTCGATGTGATATGTGTTGTTAATTAAGCATTCCGTGGACAAGGTAAGTACCAGATACAACATAGATGTATTTT